AAGTCTAAAGAAGCTTCTAAAAGTCTAAAGAAGCTTCTAGAAGCCTGTTGAACTTTCTAAAAGATTGTAGAAGATTCTACAAGTATCTAAAAGATTTTAGAAATTTTTAAAAGATTCTAGAAGGTCATAAAATGTGGTAATTTGGAATATGTCCATACGAAGAATTGTGATTAAGAATGGTATTTTTATAGCTGCTGATAAGCATTAATGATGTCATTAGATTAGTATTAATATTGATATAGTAAATCTCATGATGATAGAATGCTATAATGTTGAATAATTGATAGGATCCAAAAATTAGACACCATACTCAAAAAATTGTTTCAATACTATTCTAAATTAGATTGGTCATAGCTCTATAATTACTTAATGGATTTTTTTCAACCTAGGTTCATTTGGTAGCTGTAAAAGAATACTTTATTTGCTACACAAATCACATCTCATTATTCACTATAATTTACCTACAATAAACTATTTTTTCCAAAATATGTCAACATTGAAATAATTTTTTGAGCCACTGTATACATTTATATGTAACATGTCTTAATTTATACTAACATATCTCAATTGATTTTACATTATTGCTATCTAAGTATTCACAATAAATTCTTATAGCAACTTTCTACATCATAAGATAGTTGAATATTCATTATATTGTAAGAACAATCAATATGAATAAAACTTCATTTGAATAATACATATAGTCTGCATATTTTTACTTCCATCTTCATTGACATTCATATCCCTATGACTCATTTGGTTATGCCATCTAAGTTTTTTGCATAGAAAAAAAAATAACATAGTAGAGTGGCAAGTATGTAGAATGTCCTTTATGAATTTGTTACAATGCACCTCTTTTCTATCAAACAACTATATTTCTTATTTTTTTGTCTTTCTTCTATTACTTAATATAAAAATTTTAATCTTGTTAGAAATTAAAAAATTATAATATCTTCTATTGATATCATTACTAAAATAAAGATGTCAATGGGTATCATCATTATTCTATCTTTCTTTTCTTTTTTTGGACAATATTTCATGAGTTTGATAAAAAGTAGAAAAAACATGTAATATTTTTTCAAACATTCTTGAAGCTTCTACATTGTTTGAATTAACAAATTACCATTACATGCCATCCTTGCTTCATGTACAATGCATGGGTCATATATGTAAAGTTGTATATAACTTACCTCTACACCTTCTTTACATAAAAGAATATTGATTTGATATTGAAGCACTCAAAGTATGCAAAAGTTACACATACGAGATCCTTATAAGACAATATTATTGACTTTTGCACCAAAAGATGTAAATAAGTATGCAATATTATCTTATCAAATAGTCTTTTGAAACTCCTTACTTTGTTTATCTTATTCGTTAAGTGGTCGTTTAATTAGTAATAGGAGATCTTAAAAAAATAAAAGTCAAACCTTCCTATGAAGACAACATGTATCAAATCATGATTTTGGTGTTAATGATGGCATAGTTTGCTCATCCATCCAATGGAGTGCCTTGCAATGTGGGCATTGAACATCTATATTTCTAATATTATAATGACCTTCCAATCTTTCTCTTTTATTATAAAGTCCATGAAAAAGTTGTACTTGTGTTCACTTACATTCTTTATGTTATTGTTGAATATTTGCTCTTCAATTACTTTCTGTTATTGTCAAAGCTAGTATACTAATAATGATAAGGATTCAACTAAACAATAAAATTGAGCTTATTATTATAAATTAAAAAAACAAACTTGCAAGCGTTAATATCACACGTTGATAAAATTCTAATAAAACCACATTACTCAAGTATTTGAACAAGATTACATAGTGCTTGTAAAATAAAAATCAATACATATAACTTAATTAATCAAATAATAATGCTATAGTGCTTTAACAGTATATTATACTAATACAAAAATAAAGATCTTATATCTATACATCTCTATTAATCATAAAATATCCACAAAATATCCACAAAATATCCACCTCAAAAACATGGAAAAAAAACATGTAGCCTTATGGATGTATTATGGATGAAATTATATAGATGCACATTTTATTCTTGGATGAAAACAAAATGATGAATAAAAATTAAAATTAAAAATATAATTTTTTAAAAAATTCTGAAAAATAAAATAAAATAATAATAGATGATAGATAATAATAATACAATAATATAAGAAAATAAGAAAATAAAATCATAAAATATTAAAAATAAAAGTAATGAAAGTAAAAAAATAAAATGATGTCTTAAAATAATAATAATAATAATAATAATTTGGTGAAAAATAAAAAATTCAAAAATCCAGGTTCACGCACAGAACTTCAGTCCAGCCCACATTTCACCAATCCCACAACAAATCCAAACATCAAACCAAAAAAAAAGAACAAAAAGAACATAAAGAACAAACAAACGTATATGCAAACAAACAGACAAACTCAAAAAGCAAAACAAAAACACAAAATCAAAGCACTATATCACAATAACAACGTCAGCAATGAAAGCGTTGCAAAACAAAATTTACATTCTGCATTCATGCAACATCTAAAACAAAATCCTACAGAAATCTCACTTATATATATATATATATATATATGCACACACACACAACCCAACAATGCACAGATAGATTATATAAAATAGAATATGACATAAAATCATGGATTTTTTTCACAAATGTTGCATGAGTACCATGCTTTTTCAATTGGGTTTGATTGTTTGCTTCAGTAAAGCTCAAGAAATGGGCTACGATCACTAAACTACATATCAATTCCACTTGTTATTATACACAATGTGCTTACAAAAACCGGGTCAAGTTTTTGGCCACTCACAGCAAAATTTTAGCATTTCACAGCATATTAAAATGTTCTTGGGGTGTGCTCCACAAACATTATAAAATATCACGCTTAATACAACACTCTTTCAGTCCATCACGAATCTAAGCGTTACTATCATAAAATATTTATTGGTTTGTTGGATGGAATTGGAATTCTAACCTCTTTGTTTCAAAGTAATGAAAATATGCACTGTGAACCAAAATTTGCGCACAAATATGCGCTGCAAAGAAAACACAAATATGCGCTGCAACGAGGATCAAATATGCGCACGGGTTTTAAAGTATTATTGATATATGACTACAGCTGATCATTAAGGCCAAGAGGATCTAAAAATGAAAGTTCAACAAAACTTACACCAAATCAGTATTGTGATCAACTGGAAAGCAACAACCCTTGCTGAATCCGCAATCATCCAACTGCAAAGAAAAACAAATATGCCCTGGAACACCACATGCGCATTGAAATTATGCATTGCAAAGAAAAATATGCACACAAATATATTCTGTAAACAGAAACAAATATGCGCACGAGTTTCTGCACCAGAAACTTGCCTCATCATTTACCATGTAATCATTGGCACAGTCAAAGATAGGGATCACACATGCTTTCCCTATCTATTTTCTTTTCATGCTTTCTCTCACGGAAACATCACATTAATCTCATGTTAATCTCAGTTAACTTGGCAGTTAACATTCTTAAAGTAAGTGAAATTCATGATTACACATCAACAAAGAGATATTGATTCAAAGGTCTTTGAAATGTGTATTGACTTATGTTTTATGTTTCATTTTAAAATATCATAGACAAGAATTATATCATCAACTTTTTTACACAAATATATCTTCTTTGAAACTTATCCTACAAGTTTGTTACTTTATTCACTTGAACACCATTGTCAAGTTAATTTTCTTTTTTTTGTTGTTTCTTACTTCTTGAACTAAAGTACGAGTACCAAAAAACATTGATTTTGTAAACATATTAAGTATTTATCCAGTTACCAATAAAGATTACAAAGTCAGACAAGAAAAGATACCAAAACTTTGATAAAATTATTCATTTTGATATTTAATGCATATTATTGCAATGTATTAACATGACTTAAGAATATTTCTCCAAGAAATTTGATTTTATTTTGTCTACCTTTATCAAGATTGGTTTAAAGAATATGGATTTACAAGTTATTTTTCATGAATACCATAATCCTATTATGTGCTATGAATTGGCCTTAGGTGGTGTTTGATCAATGAGCTCCATGTCCGTGCATTTATACTTCTGGTTCACAAAACCATGGACAATTTTTTTGAAGAGAAGAATGCACCATATCGTTTGTTCGCAAGCCTAGCATCTCCTGTGGAGCTCTGTTCTCTCCTTGTAGAACTGTGTCGCAGAAACCTCCCAACTCAATCGACTTGCTCCGCCATTGTAGGCCATCAGTTCGTAGCTGCCGCTCAGATTCAATGTCAACCGCTAGTCGTATTTAGGGAACACTTGAGAACAGAGGGAGATAGTATAGGAGAACCAACAAGGAAGGTCGTTTGGAGGACTAAATCGCCTAATTAATACATAATCCTTGATTACAATACCTAGTCCACAGTGCAAGTCCAAAGAAACGCACTATATGAATCACATGCAATTACTGTTTCTATGATATCCACAGACAAACCATAGTTTGGAATGAAACACGAATGGTATTATTGATCAAGCAGAACATTGCATTGTATAGCAAAAGTGAGGTTCACAAACACTGTACGTGATAGTATCCAATTGACCTTGGGTTGCACACTTAGATCAATACAAATGAAAGCTGTAGGATGGGATTGTTTTAAAGGTAGCTTCAATCTCTTCTCATAAACCTGGTAAGTCAAAACATTAAAAAAATCTTCACCTTGTTAATGTCAAAGACCATTCCAATCAGAAGTTGCATTTCTCAAAATGATCTTTACCATTACATTGAATACATGATCAGTAAAAAAAAATAAAAAAAAATAATACTTTATTTATTTGGAACTAAACCATTTCTTGCTTACCCCGACATGTTCCCCGCACTCCCCCTTTCGCGCTCCCGAGAATTTATGTATTGGCCAGGATTAAAGCTTGAGATCTGACGGCTGATATGTCTAGAGATAGTCGATTGAATTGAGAGGTCTCTGCGACACGTAGTGACGAGGCTATTCTCTTTCTGCACTGCTCTCATGCCGCCACAGTGCATTCCAGGAGTATAACATGAATAGTCCACGGTGAAAACTTCTGGACAGAGTGATTCTAAGTCTATTGTGGCATCAGAGCAAGCAAACGTCCGAGTTAGGATGTAGCGTTTTACATTCTTATGCAATTCTAGAGACGTCAAACACCCCGAGGTGAAATTTGCGCACGCTGATTATCCTCTTTTCAGTTTTTCTATATATAATGCAAGTATTTGTCGTTTCTGTGTTTGCATCGGATTTGCGAACATTGAGGAATGGCATTAGCGAGGATTTGCAAGTGTCAGGGGTGGGAGTGGAGATTGTGTGGGCTGATTCGATGTGGAAGTTTTTAGTGCTGCAGAGGGTTTGGCAGAGATGTTTTTTTTATACTACGAGGTGTGAAGGGAAACAAACTTTAAGGGTTTAGGGTTTCGATTAGAGCTTGGTTTGGCAACGGTATTTTTGTGGTTCATGGTCTTTATGTTGACGCAAAACCGAACTGATGCCGTTTTGCTCTTTGCAGGTGTGAATTATGTGGAACCAATCGTGTACCAGTTTAATTTATCTATGTCACGAATAGGTTCTCTGGAAGTCGGACTCTGTATTGTTAAGTATTCAGCTATCGTTGATAAAATCGGGGGATAGTTTTGACTGGTAATATTGGTGACAATGGCTGCGACAGCTACTGCATTCACTCGTATTTCACAATCTATTGCTGGAACTCTGTCTCTTTCCCACTGTAGCACCAGACCTTTGTTCCACCCCTGCAGCTCTTCAATTCGTCGACAAGCTCCTGCAAGTCAAATCTACTGCTTGTTGTCTGCATTGAATTGCTCGCCAGTTATTCTTCACTCTGGACCTATTAAAGAGCTTCATTGTCGTACATCCTCCCGTACAGATGTTTCATTTGTAATTTCTCAGAGATTCGAGAAGAGGTTTGAGTGTTCCGCTTCGAGATCTGGAGACATTGAAGGGTCAGACTTTCACTCTACATGGACAGCTGCCGACATGCCTGAATCAGAGAGATTTTTACACTCTGGTACAAGACTACAAAATTTATCAAATCTTCCTTGTATCCTTTGTTACGACATGGTTAGCAAACTTTCGAAATTGGAGCTTCTGTGTGTTCTGATATACTAATTTAGGATGTGGCAAAAGCGTTCTGAATGTGATAAACTCAATTATGTTGGACTGGTTGGATGTGGAGCAGAGTCAGTGACAAGTTCAATAGCTAGTGCGTCAGTGGTAACTCCTCTGTGTGAGCGTCCTGCAACGCATGTAACATGCTTGGAAGACCTACTTCAGTGGAGGAGGAAGGCAGAACATTTAGCTGCATCCGTAGGTAGAGAATTTTATGATACAGATGGAGGGCCGGATTCTAGTGATCTTTTGAGGGAGTTGGAGTGGCTTCTCGATGATGCTGTTGCAGCCTGTTGCCGACGTGATCGGAAAGCGGGCTCAAGTGAGAGATGCTGGAAATCATGCAGTTGGAGGGACGTGAAGGCTTGTTTGCCTTTTGAAACAGTGCGAATTTTAGGTGAGGGTTGCAAATTTAGATGAATTGCAGCTTCATTTGTCTTCTTCTTCCGCCTCTTGCTTTCTTTCTTTGTCTACATACACATACACGTGTACACACGCACCTCTTATATATTTTTAATGTTTCAATTTGGTATTAAGGGACTCTAAGCTCTTTTTTCTGAAATTTCAGATAGGGATGACGTTCCAAACGTATCTGCTGATGCAAGTGTTGAGTTTGGAGTCTTCGGAACCCTACTTAAGGAAAGATACACGGACCCAGTTTCGGAATTGGCAGCAGATGGTGCATGTTCTTGTGATTCCTTACGGGATAGCCTAGCAGATATGGCATTCGCTGTTCAAGGCATTCAGGAAAGGTCTGTTTCGGAACCGTCGTTTACCGAAACAACTGCAGACCGAGTTACTCATTTTTCAACTGTAGATCATGTTCCTTTAGAACAGCTCGACAATAAAACTACAAATGCACACATCCTGTTGCGTTCTAGTATCGAAGAGCTCGAGGAACAGTGGACTCGAAGAGTGAGGAATAGGAGGCCGTTCCAATACGTCGTGGGATGTGCACATTGGAGAGACTTAGTCTTGAGTGTTCAGGAGGGGGTCCTAATACCAAGGCCAGAAACAGAGCAAATGATAGACCTTGCAGAGGCTGCAATTACAGCAGATAATTCTCTAAATAATGGGTTGTGGGCGGACCTTGGAACTGGAAGCGGTGCTTTGGCAATCGCCATGGCACGCCTTCTTCCTCCTACTGGGTCAGTTATTGCTGTTGATGCTAGTCCAATAGCTGTTGCTGTGGCTCGGCGGAACGTGGAGAAATATGAGCTCAAGGTGAGCATTTGGTTTCATAGTTTGCAGACGTTGTGTTTCTGCTCAGTTCTTGCACTCTTTTCGTAACATACTAGAGCCTCAATGCTAGAGTTTTCAATGGAAGGATAATTTCGTGTTAATTCTTATACTTCAATGCAAAGTAGTAGCGAATGAGATATTACTTCTTTGATTGTGGACCATAGCTTCTAGCCTCTACCCTCAAGAATGTTATGAGAACAGTACATGTTTTTATGTGCCATTCTCTTTCTTGCTGTGGTTTGGCCTTATTGTGTGAAGGCAATAATTTTTTTTCGTTATATTTTTCGAACAGGACCGAGTGAATGTTGTCTTTGGCTCCTGGTTCACACCTCTAGAGAATCTTAATGGTTCTCTGGCAGGCATATTGAGCAATCCCCCCTACATACCGTCAGAAAATATTGCGGGACTTCAAGCTGAAGTAGGAAAGCACGAGCCGCAGTCTGCACTAGATGGAGGAGAGGATGGCATGAGTGACTTGCGCAAAATCTGTCAAGGCTCTTCGTTTGCTCTCAGGGCTGGGGGATTTCTTGTGTTGGAGGTATGCTCTGACTTCTACATGCATGTAGAAGTAAATATACCTGGTATATTTACTTTGTGTTGTTAGATTCATGTGTCTTCACATAATAGACATGGTAGGAAGTTATTACATCATCTAGTTTCAGGAACTTTATGGTATTGTCTACATAACAGGCCTTTGTTGCTGCATTTTACGTCAGAAGGGACAACTTACTACAGCGTTCATGTATCAGAAAGGTCATCTTGTGTTGTGTCTTAACTTAAAAACTTGGCTTTTGTAGACCAACGGTGGGAATCAAGCTGAGGCTGTATCTGCTTATCTACACAGTTTAAGATCAAAGGGAGACTTTCAAACCTTAACCTCTATTCCTTGCTTTAAGCACATTAGAATCGTGCCTGATTTCGCTGGGATTGGCCGGTTTGTTGTAGCTACTCGTTGCTGATGACCTGGAGTAAATGGTTCTGATGCTTCACTGTTTTGTGAATACGTGTAAAACTTTTTTGGCACTTTTATTGTCTATCTTTTTCACTTTTCCATCGAGAATTGCGATGGTCACCAAGCAATGCTTTTAGCTGGTTGAATGTGTATTGTGTACATATTTGTACTTTTTATGAAGTAAGGGAAACAAGTCTTTATAAAGAATTAATATTATGGATATATATATATATATATATATATACGAATAAATAACTAAAGGGGGAATTAATATTTCTACAGAGTTTTATTATTTCCTTTCAACATTATGTTGCATCCACTACATTGTTGTGGTTCTATGACTAGTTCTAGTTTAATGGCGATTTTGTTTTGGTTCGTGTTCAAAGGGTAGCTCCTTGTCTTTGACAGCAATGGGATCCAACATGGTGGAGCAAAAAGTTTTTCTTCCAAAATGCTTAAACAAAAATGTTGCTAAAATATAATAGATTACAAAACCATATTAATGGCAATGTGATGGGTGCAATACAATACTAGGTAGAAATTACAAAATTCTAAGTATCAATTATCTATATATATATATATTTTTTGTAGGTTTTTGTGATCAAGTAAAATAATTATAATTAAGTTTGAAGAGATTTGTTGTTAAAGTTGATAAGAAAAGCATATATAGAAAATTTTAAAAAGATTAATTAATATTTTAAAGAATAAGAATGAGATGTGTTTTATTTTACTTTGCAATAAACTCTAATTTAAAACCCATTAAGAAAAGGTATAAATCTATGGATAAACTAGGGAGACAAATTGGCCTTTTGATTGGTTGGATTTTTTAATCATCATTGTTTTCATTAAAACTTAACTTGCCAATTCATAGGACTTTAATAGAACCAATCTTAGATTAAAGTGAGGACATCTTAAAATTCAAACTAGAACTCATATCAATATTTACTATTATATTAAATTTGTGCCATTGTAACATATGTAGACATTTATTGATATAAGCAAAAACACAGCATAAGTAAAAAGAGTTGTTACTAAAGTAGATGATTGTTTTAGTGAGATGTGGTGGCCATAGAAATATAATGTATGATTGTACATTTCTTTGTTATGGAATTTGTGTGGTTTATTTGATGTTGATGTTTGGAGGCATAGTAGCAAATATGTATTATGTTATTCTCACTTGTACAACATGACTCCAAAAGGTAAGTACACTACATTTGTTTCAATGTTAGTGAAGATAGAGAACCTTAAGATTGAATTTTAGTTGAAGCTTGCATTACTTGGGCAAATTGACAAGAAGATTATTGACATGTACCATATGTACAAGCTAGTGAATAATTTGTTGCTAAACAATTGTTGTTTGAGATCACTCACTAGAAACTTGTATGTATACATGAAGAGTGTATATTGATGGCTATCATATGTATGTGCATAAGGATTGGATCAATTGTTGGTCTAATGTTGTTTTAACTTGAGAGATAAGTTGTAAGGCATGGTTGAGTGACTCAATAGAAGGCATTGTTTGCATTATCATGTGGTGACACAACTATATTGTGAAAAATAAAAATATGGATGTTATTATAGAAGAGCCTAATGGAAAGATGTAATAAAAAATCAAAGGTAAATATTAGAAAGGTAGTAAAAAATTTAGTCTTAATACTACCTTTTGTAGAAGAGATTTATATTTACTTTGTAGGAGCATAAAAGCCTCAAATCAAAGTAAATGAAATAATTAAATAATATAGGCATCTTTAAGAAAGAATTAATAATATTTTTAAGTAAAAATTACCTCAAATTATCAAAGATTGATACCTAAAGAAGACCAATTGTAAACTTAGATTGAAATTAGATCTCAAGGTACAAAATTGTGAACCTATGGTGACTTAGGGGTTTTTTTTGTCAATTGAAGAGTATAATTTGAGAGTAGACTAGAGAAGAATTTTTCTTAGTGTTTTATATCATTTGGATAAATAATTAGGATTTGAAGAATTTTCAAAGTTAATAATGTACTCAATGGATTTAGATTTTGTGAAATAAAAAATTGTTTATAATTTTGATGATTTTTTGAGTTTTGTAGTATGTGTATGGATGAAAATTTGGCAGTTTGTTGTTGTGTTTGTTATGAATGTGTGTAAGAATATTATAGTCAATTAAGTAGTTAAATTGAAGTATATATGAGTTTTTATAGATAATGGTCTTAGATAATTGAGATTTAGGATCAGTGAGGAATTTTATAATATAACAATATCTGCCAATTTGATTGAAGCAAAAATTGATGAGAACAATTTAAATTCGAATATCAATACAAAATCCAAATTTTAGAGCAATTGAAAAATTTAGTAAGGAGAAATCTTTGTTGAAAGATCAATGTTAAAAACAAAGAAAGAGAATAACCAATAATTGAGAGGTTTTTAGGAGCTTTTATTGCAATTGGTATGTGCGATTTATTTCAAATTATTTGTCCTTATTACTAACTTAGTTATTGCAATTTTTTCAAATTTTGAATCAAAATCAATAATTCAATCATTAGTTATTGAATTCTCAATCTGTTGTAGGATTTTTTAAGAATGTATTTAAGATTTAGGATTTGATTAAAGATTGATTAGAATTTTTTTAGGATTTGATTTATAATTTGGTCAAGGATTAAGATTTATGATTTGATTAGAATTTAGGATTTAAATAGAATTTTATTAGGATTGATCTAGGATTTAGGATTTAATTAGGCTCTAGGATTTGATTAGGATTTTATCTAAGATTTTTTTTTAGATTTATTAGGATTTCAATTAGGTTTAAATTAAAATTTTGTTAAGATTTATTTAATATTTATTTAAGATTTATTTTTTAAAAAAATTAAAGTTTTTTTATTATTTCTTTAAAGATTTATATTTCAAATATTTCTTTAAGTCTTATTTTTATTTATTTTTATTATATTTCTTTGAGATTAATTTAAGACTTCTTTGTATTTTTTTTGTTACTTCTTTTAAATTTATTTGGATTGGTTAAAATTTGATTGAGATTATTAAAGATTATTTAAAGTTTATTTAAAACTCTATTAGACTTGGTAGATTGTTGTTGCATTTCTACTTACCTTCCATAGTTAGGTGCTTATTGCATTCTCAAGAAAAAATACACATAATATGATAGCATTGATACAGAGTTTGTTTTTAAATAACAACCTTATAGAGGAGTAGTCTTTTTGAACATCTTTTTGGCATGAATCTATCAATAGAACAATTATGCATGTAGAGCATGTAGGTTCAACCTAGGTAGGATATCCCGCTTTTCAAAAATTGTTTATAGAATATATTCTTGAAACTTCTTAGGATGCAATTGGGGATCCATAACAAGTGATGGATAATTGCTTCTTCTCACCTTTGCTAATATTGTGCACCTTAGAGTCTCTAATAATCATATCTATATAAGAAACCAGTCGTAAATGATACAACAATTCTTGTACATAGTGCTCTCTTGCATTGGATTTCCATGTCTTTGAAAACTATAGTTTAGCGATAAGAAAAAACATCTCCAATATTGAAAGGTGCAAGAAAAAAAAGGTCTTCTTGTTGCATATATATAAACCTATGCTTAGACTTCAAAAAAAGACAATTTTTGATGCTAAAAGACTCTATTAAACTCAAGCAAAGAGAGGCAACAAATTACCTATTCAAAACATTCTAGAAGGTAGGTTTTTGAAATCTTGATGGTTTCGTAATAGCAAACAATTTTCTTGTTGTGGCCTCTTGGCTCATTTCTTGTAGCAAGCAATTTCTTTATTGTAGCCTCTCTACTCAATCCTTATAGTAACCTCTTGACCACATTTATATGTTTGTTGTATAAAATGCACTCAATGCAATTCCATACAACCTTCATAGATAGCATGCCTATGGTCAAGGACTTTTTATCTTCTAGCTCCAATATATTTCTTAGTTAACAATCTCTAACATATTTTCTATGATAATGGTATGGATTCAACTAGTATAATTTAACTTATAGTTTCTATTGTAGCTTTCAAATAAATTCATTTAGATTTTTATAAAATAATTATTTTATATTTATATTTTTTAGACTTTATCAATGAAAACAAAAATCTTATTTTATCTTTAAATATTATATATATATATATGATTTTATTAAGAAGTATTATATATATAATAAATAAAATAAAATAAATATAAGAATAAAATAAGAAATAAATAAAATATACATATTATTTTATTTCTATTGAAAAAATATATTATTGTAATGCTTTAAGTTTTATGTGCAAGAAGAATTAGAACAAAATCAGCAAGGTGACTTTATGGATTTTATCTTTTATCTTTTTGAACAAAATTATATAATAACTTGTGTTAGTAGGAGTATCTTCAAACTAAGGTTTGTAGATGACTTTATTTTTTAATAGAATTGTCATCCTCAAAACTTAAATCTCTTAAATTCCTTGCTCATTGTTCTAAGCAATAAGTAGCCAATATACAAGGAGAGGGGTTTATTTCTCTAAAATAAAATATCACTTGTTGGTATTACATTTTAAGATTTAAAGAGATTCAATATAATGTCAAAGATGATTTTCTACATTTAAGTGATTTCAAGTTCAAATTCTAAAATCATTACTTCATGCATGAAAATCATTAATTCATGATTTATATTTGACTTAATATTTTAAGGTACGTTTTACTCAACTTTTCTACTTGATCTTGTATTTACTTTACAGATTTATTTATAATGAGTGCTTCAACATCTTCAACTGCTTCTACTATGGTTCCAACTATTACCAGTGCATTCCAACATTTTCAAGCTCTTTTATTTCCACCATTGACTGTGGATGGAAACAATTATCTATTATGGGCAAAAATGGCAAAAGAAAATTTATTTACAACAACTCTTAGATACCATTATCTTTGAAGAATCTTCTATAATCAGTATTTCTATATTTCCTACTATTCCTTGGAAAACACTTCCTCTCCTTCACCATCATCTTGTACCTGCATTACAACATCAATATTTAGAAATGGAAGTTCCTATAGAACTTTGGAAGAATCTTAAATCTAGGTTTGATCATCAAAAGACTATTTTTCTTCCACATGCACATCATAATTGGACACATTTATGTGTCTTGGATCTTTCAAATTT